CACTTGTATCCTAGGATGGAAGCATTCAGCAGTGGTTTGACCAATTTCCAAGTTCCTTGGCATTGAAGGGCAAGAAATTTGGTGGCCATGGCTTGACGCCATTCAAATTTCTTGGCTGCTTCATTGTACGTGGTTGGATCAGATTGAGAGATGTTCTGCTTGTGACCATGAAGCAGGTTTAGCCTTGTTGTTTGGTATAGAGAGCTGGTCTTACTCCGTGTAACCATTGGATGAGATGAGATGCTGGATGAAGGCGGGTCCAGTTGAGAATTCAGATTATTTGGTTGAACAGGTTGTTTTGGAGTTGGTACAGGAGGCACTTGAGGATCTGGTGGTTGGGTGAGATGATATGGTGAATGTGTGGTTCTTGCCGTATTAGGAGAAGGAACCGAGATGGGAGTGAGCAGTAAGGGAGATATGTCTAGTTGCTTATTGCTGGGAGATAGATTGATCTTGGAAAATGGAAAAATGTGCTCTTGAAAGGTAGTGTGAAGTGAAATTGTGATTTTGTTCGTATGAGGATCGAGGCATTTGTAGCCTTTATGAGTGTCGGAGTAGCCAAGAAAAATGTGAGAGGTTGCCTTTGGCTACAGTTTGTGACGAGAGTGTTGAGGTATGAGCGGAAAACACTCGCATCCAAAGATCTTGAGATTATCATACTGCGGTTTACTGTTGTGAAGTATCTCGAATGGCGATACTTGTTTGTTGTCGTGGATGGTAATATGTTAATAAGATAAACCGTCATAGATACAGCGTCGGACCAGTAGGTTTATAGGACTGAAGCTGTGACAAGAAGCATGCATGTAGTCTCAATGATGTGACGGTGTTTCCTCTCAGCCAGACCATTTTGTTCAGGTGTGTATGGACACGATTGTTGATGTATAATGCCATGAGTCTTCAGAAAGGAAGAGAACGAGTGATTCATGTATTCGGTGGCACCATCAGTCCGTAATATCTTTATTTTTCGCGAAGTGTAGTTCTCAACCTATGTTTTAAAATTAATAAATGTATCAAGTACTTCAGATTTATGTCTTAATGGAAATAACCAAGTGAATCTAGAATGATCATCGACAAAGATGACATGGTATCTGTATCCTTGGTGGGATACAACCGGAGCGGGTCCCCAAACATCTGAATGAATTAACAAGAGTAAAGATGTTATACTATATTCCGAATGATCAAACTAAAGCTTATGACATTTGGAAACATTACAAGAATTGCAAGATAGCTTATGTTTGTCTAATTCTAGAACAGGATTACAACTAGAAATGATATCAAAAATTCTTTTATGTGGATGGCCAAGACGTTGATGCCAACGAATTGCCGACGAGGTGGTGACGGCGAGGGCTTTGTTCAGTTGCGGGTTTGCGCCGGTCGAAATTTTGTAGAGACCACCGTTACATGGTCCTCGAAGAATGACTCTGTGCGTCTTCATGTCCTTCAAGATGAAGCCATTTGGATCAAATATAATGGATATGTTATTATCCTTGGTTAGTTGAGATATAGATAGTAAATTATACTGAATAGAAGGGGAATGTAAGATATGTGATAGATTCAGCTTACGAGATGGGGTCGGGAGGATACCCACCCCTGTATAAGAGATATTGACCGAGCTACCATCGCGGATTGTCACAGTGTCTGAGCCTTGATATGGCGTGGAAATTGAAATGTTATCGAGCGAATTTGTAAGGTGTGCAGATGCCCCCGATTCCAAGAACCAGTTCATGTCGGTGTTGTCTGAGCCCGTAAGAAGAGCTGTGTTCGCAGTTCTTGAGGATGGTGTGTACTAGACATTTAGTCTATGGCAGTATGACTGAGCCGAATGGCCCTTTTTTAGACAAATCTGGCAGATGAAATTTGCAGTGGCTTGTGCCCGGGAGGAGTTGGAGGTGCTGGGCTAATTTCTCCCGCGAGATATTTTGCCTCTTCCGCGGTAGTTGAAGAGAGCTATATTAGAATTAGGCTGTCCGTTGGACTTTGCTGCATCCGTTGCCAGATTAACTTCTTCGCTTAAAAGAATAGGGTATAGTTGATCAAGAGTAATTGGGGTAAGCATGGTTCTTATGGCTGTCTTGAAGGATTGATATGTGGGAGGTAGACCGTTGAGGATGTAAAGAATTATGTCCTCTGTATCAACGGCCGCATCTGCAGCAGCTATCTGGTCTACAAAAGACTTGATGTCGGTGAGATATTGCATCATGTTGGAGTTCTTAAAGGATATGTTGTGGAGTTCATTCTTTAGTTGAATGACTTTGGACCTGTTTGTAGATTGAAAACGATTTTGTAGTGACAACCAGATGGCTGCCGTAGTTTCTAAATAAATGACATAAGGAAGAACCATAGGGGAGATCGTAGAGCAAATGGAAGCATAAATGTTCTGGTCCGTGAGAACCCACTTGGAGAACAGAGGATTTGATGAAGACGAACAGTCTTGGTTCGTTACAGTCTGCGGTGGAGGAGTGGAATTGGGATCAATAAAGCTTTGAAACCCATTTGCGCGCACATATGATCTTGAGAACATGTGACTTCCAAATGGAATAGTTGTCGGAGGTAAGGGGATGGTGATGACGTTTTTGATGTTGGAAACCAGAAACTTAAGATTGGAGGGGATGACCGGATCAGAGGCTTCGGTGGTTGGCGAGACACGATGATCTTCAGTCTGGGAGGAGGCGGAATGAGCCATCGGCAAGAACCTAACATACTACTGATACCATGAAGAAACTGATGAATCAAGAAGGAAAAGAATTGCTAAGAGAGACGAAGAACAGAGGTAGCATTCAATCTATCGTGTATTACACAACAACCTTCAAGTATATTAAATAGACCTGGGTAGTACGGCTCAAGAAGAGAAGAGCCACTCACAAATTTACACCTCAGACAAAGTACAATTTGTAACATGAAATATTTTCAACATTTATATTTCTGGTTCTAATAGTTAGCCTCACATTGGCAACAAAAATAGAAGTTTTTGTTTGCTTATTTCTTCATCAAAAGTAGTGATACATGACTATCTCTTACTCTCGTAGTTTGTATTGTGCTTCCCTCTCTCTTTTTATTTTGCCTTTATTTTAAAGTAATGCAAATGCACTTAAAAAAAAAGTGTGGGAAACTATTCCGGAAGGTTGTCCTTTGCTGGCATAACTGAATCAAGAAATCATTGAATGGATGTTGGGGATGCAAGAGCTCAGATACAAATGTTGCAACTAGTGTTGGTATTTCTCACTTTGAAATGGATCTAAATGCTACTAGCTAGGGATGTTATGTGCAATATGCATAGCTTGAATATAAATATGAACAATCTGCATAATCTGCCATTCACAAGAGACGAAGCCATCCAAATTCCTAAGATTATTATATTTCATTATTTTGCTTTGTATAACATGGATGTCTACCCAAAAACATAATGTATTTTCTTTTTTAACAAAGCTTGCTTGCAAAGATTATGATTTTCTAGATAAAGTAAGCGATACTGATGTTAGAATCAAATAATCTAGATTTTCCAAATTCAAAAGGACCCCGACCTTCAAAAGGATTTTTTTGTTATATTTCACCATAATCTTCCATATTAATGCTAGTATCAAATGATATAGATTAAAGGGTAATTTTTAAAAAGGAGTATCTTAATTGTCACAATTTGTACGTAAAAGGAGCAGGTTTATTTAAAAATTTAAAAAGGAGCTAATTTGCCAATTATTTTGGGGTATTGTGACAGAGAGAGAAATGGAAGTTCAGGTGGAGAGAGAGAAATATGGAGTTGTGGAGAGAGATAAGAGAGAGAGAGAAAAATATTTGAAAGAGAAAGAGAGAATAATAATCTATGCTGATGGCTCTCTCCTCTACAAATTTTATATATTGTTTTTAATTAATAAATAATAATTTATATGTTAATCATTTTTTACTTAAATTTTTCTGATTAAACATAAAAAATCTTAATTTAATTTAATTACATTATAATTTTAAGTTATAATAAAATATAAATATAATATTAATTAAATTATGTAAATATTTTAAAAAAATTAATTTTAAAACCCTCTACCACTGCCTCTCTCTCTTCCCTCTCCGCCTTTCTCTCTCTACGTATCACTTTCTCTCTCTTTTAATGAACACCCCAAAACACTTGGCTTATTTAGAACAAGCCAAAATAGTTGGTGCATTCAGAATGCGTCAATTATTTTGACAAATTAGCTCCTTAAATTTTTAAATAAACTTGCTCATTTTACTAATTGTGATAATTAAGGTGCTCCATTTTAAAAATTACCGTAGATTAAACCCTCTTATTGGGAGCTGATAAAATGATTTTACCCTTATACCACCTTAATAGACCTACCTAACTAGCCGTCGTCAATGATGATTGCTCCATATTGGCATAATGAGAAGCTTCATTGCATATAACTTTGATAAACATACAACATACCACTTCGAAACTCTTAACCGTGAGGATTCAAAGGAGTTTATAGATCAATTTTTTTTATTGTTGATTTTATCAAAATAAAGTTGAAATACATGAACGATTATTATGTCAGGATATCTAATAAATTTGAAATTTATTGAATTTCCTTTAAGATAAAATTCAAATTAAATTCAATGACTTTTAAGTCCATCCTTAAATCATTTATATCATAATATCTTAATTTAAAGAATTTAAATACATCATGATCTTTGAAATTTGCTTAGATTCTTATTAACATTTGCATAATGCTCTACTTTAAAAAATATTGAAATAATAGTTATAAATATCTGCATGAATGGACAACAATACAACATTTCTAATGAAATTTTATTAAAAAAAAAAATCTACAATGATTTTTAAATGAATTTATCTTCGTCATTAACATTCTATATATATATGAGTTTCATCTCCTCCTAAAAAACTTAAAAAGGTGGGCTCAGTCGCTCAGACATGATTAAGCGAGCAAACCCCCGTATCCCGAGGCGCTGCTTCCGGACACCGACTCGCCGGCCATTGACAAATCAAAGCATAGCCGGACGTCCGTCTCACATTACCCAAACAAGTTTCTGTACCACTCGTCACTGTCCCATTCATCGCCGTCGTCGTCACTGGGGACAAAATTCCCGTTTTTCTCCTCAATCGCCGGCGCTCCAAAATTATCTTCTTCGTTCTGCTCTGCTTCGATTCCCATCTCCCACCACTCTTGCCCTGAATCCAATCCCTCCGCCACAAACAAGCCAAGCATCGGATTCCATAATTCCGCAACCACCACAACCACTTTCCCCGCCGCCACTAACGGTCCCGTCAAATTTCCCCCCACAACTTCCCCATTCATCCCCGCCATAGTCACCGAAATTCCGCCGCTGCTGTCGCCGCCGACGAAAGCAGCCGAAATGGAAAGAATTTCGTAGCAGCCACGAAGCGTGAGGTCGGTGAGGTCGGCGGTGGAGGAGCAGGATGGATGTTTTAACACGGCGAAAGATACAGGGCCATTCGCCGTGAGAATAGACACGTAGCCGCCCAGGCAGCGAGCTAAGATCGCCGTGGCTTCGGCGATGTCTCCTCCATCAGAGATCTCAAGCACATGAGGACGGAGAAAAGATGCGGGCTTTCGCGTGCTCTTTGAACCAGAAGGGCGGCCGCGCCCCCGTTTTGCCGGCGGCTCGGATAAATTTTCGTTTGGAATTTGCAGCATTGTGAGAAGAGGAAGAACATGAAGAAAAAGGACAGTCTTGTCTCTCCGTCTCAGTTGTATTTATAGGCGTCGCGAGTCGGTTCTAGTTGTGGGGGGTTTCAGGAATCGGAAATCTGGGAGAGATTGACTACTTAATATAATCTAATGAATCTTGAATCTTGATAGGTGTTTAAATTAAGAAACTGAATGAAAAACTGACTGATTTTGTTCGATTCCGTCGAAGTTAGATTCTCTTTTGATTTACAGGATATCATGCAGCGATAAATTGGCCGGTATTTTTTGTGGCTTGAGAATGGACAAGTATTAGGCTATTAGCTCCGTTTTTTAGTACAGTTTTTTTAAATAGTAAAAGCATTATGGTCAAAATCTGAATATAAATTAATAGATTTAATTTAAGATAATATAATATAAAATTTGATTATTTTTTTATATATTTATTTTAAAATAAATTTAATAATTTCGATGCTCAACTAACTGGTGCGTCTTGAAATATTCGCGGCGGTAGAGAAATGTGAAATTTAACGTCTTAGCTTTACACGAAGATCTATCACACAAGCATGCGGGCAGCGGCGCGTGGCAGCGGGGCAGCGGGCAGCGGGCAGGGGGCGGGGGCAGCGGGCAGAGGGCGGGATTTCGAAATTTTTTGAATTAAACGGGTTGGCGGGTTGACCCGGCAACCCGCCGGGTCAACCCGAACCCGACCCGTTTTTTGAAACGGGTCGATTTCTGGAACCCGAACCCGACCCGTTTTGAAATCGGGTCGGGTCCAACCCGGCGGGTCCGGGTCGGGTTTTCGTGTCGTGTCAAAAATTGACACCCCTAGGCGATGGAGGTCAAAAAGATTGTAGTCGGGTGACAATGGTTGGACGGACCGTTGTCTGGCGAGGGAGGTCGGAAGGATCATAGTTGGCGGGAGACAGTGGTCAGAAAGATTGTTGTCTGGCGATGGAGGTCGGAAGGACAGTAGTTGGCGACGAAGGTCGGAAGGACTGTAGTTGGCAAGAGACAGAGGTCCAAAATACCGTATAACGATGGAGGTCGAAAGGAACGTAGTAGGCGACGGAGGTCAGAAGGACCGTAGTTGGCAGGAGATAGGGGTTAGAAAGACCGTTGCGTAAGGCGGTGGTACAATAGAAGTTCGACTTCAGAAGGTAGTCCGGTGGAACTCCAGCGTCAAGCGGTGGTCTGGTAGAACTCCGGTGTTGGGTGGTGGTGGTCCGGCAGAACTCTGGCATCGGGTGGTAGTCCAGAAGAAGCCCGACATTAGGTGGTGGTTCTATGGAACTCCGAGCGTTAGGTGGTGGTCTGGTGGAACTCATGAGTGGTGGTCTAGGAGGAGCTAAGGGGCAAGAGCGATATTCGATCTCTCTCTTGCGCTCTTACTTGGGGTCCCTCCTCTTCAAGAAGGAGGGGCTCTATTTAAAAAATTGTGAGAGTGGCATTACCCGTATATAGGAGGAAGATCAAGGGTAACTGAGATGTGGTTTGGATGGACGGCCGATGTTGAATCCCTTGATCGTGGACCATTCGCTAGCCATTTGAAGGTCTTAATGATGTCGGAATTCCATGATCTTAGGCTCATTGGATTCTTCTCGTTGAGCTGCTCGATTCAACTATAAGCATGCCATGTTTGGAAACTGTTTGGTAATCCAAATTGTTGTTTGAACCTTCCAACAGGGTTTCAGGTCCTTGATTTGGACCAATTTGGGCTCAGATTGAGTCAGTTTTGGTGTCGTTGGGGTTTGTATTTTTGAGACGCTCAGTTCGAATGTAAGTTTGCTAAAATAAGAGTTCAGATGGGCCAATGTTTTAAAGTTTTGAAGTTTCCAACTTGATTTTGCCTCGAGATTGGTGGCATATCAAGATAATTTTTTGATCATGTATCACTAACAATAGATTTATACACAAAGCACATTAGAAACATGGCAACCCCTAATTCACTAAAATTCGTTTAGGGCAATTTTTTTTATTGCTTTCTAAAGCATTTTTTAAATACAAAATTTTTTGAAATAGAAATTTTTTTACTGAGAAACTACTTTAGAAGGCAGTAAGAAAGCTGTCCCAAATAAAATCTAATTCCTATGACATTGTTTTGGCATCTCCATACGATCAGTAGCACTAATCATCCCTAAGAGGGCTCTAATTATCTCCAACTTAATTAGGTAAATAAGTTACTTAACCAATATTGGATCAATCTAACTCATAAGTAACAATTTAACAGATAAAAAATCACATAATTATTAGGAAAACATTAATAAGTACAAAGAAAAATCATAACTATTTATTTTTAAATGTAACAAAATTTAACGACTGAAAATAGGGGATAAATAATTTATCTATAAAATTGGCATGATTGTTATAAATCTAAAGGGAAAATTTAATTATAAACATTTTGAATTAAATTCAAAATCATATGAATTCTAATTTCAACAAATGTATAGTCAAACTGAACATCTTGGCAAGACGAAGCCAAAAATATTAAAAGTGATATATTTCGAACCTAAATGAGATCAAACCAAACATTTGAAACGTAATAAAAACTTTTTAGATATTAATTAGATGATCAAATAATCTCCAAATTTGATATTTTTATAGTCAAATCGAGCCTAAGACCACTCAATTTTGACATCATGGGGGAACTTTATTGCTCAGTAAATTCTTTATGATCTAAGTAATACATATGAACCATACGACGGAGTGCTTTGAATTTTGGTTAAATTTACCAAAATACCTTTCTAAAAAAACCTATAAATAAATATTCATTCTCTAAATAAAAGAGCTTGAGGAGGGGAGAGACGAAGAAAACTCCCTTGCCTTTTTTATTTATCGATGCTATCGACGACCACCACCAATTCTCACCACTGATGATGACCATTAACTCTGGTTGCCAACCACCACCAACAATCTCCGCTATCTTCTACAATCTTATGTCAGATCTAACCCTGCTCTTGGGTTTTTACTGTCTGTCTATGAATAATTGATTTCTTTAATTTCAATATTTAATATAATTTAGACATTGATTTTCAATATAATCATATATTCTTCAATTATAAAGAAGAAAAGATTCTTATATCTCTTGAAGATTGTAGAAGATAGGATTATTATAAAGAAGAAAAGATTAAAAATCGATAGGAGTTGATTCAAATTCAATATAACATCACCAACCCACTAAGATTTTGTTTGTGACAGTTTTCTTCCTACTTCATAAAACAGTTTTTTAGAAAAAAAATTAAAAATGTTGTGCTAAAAAACTGCTTTATGAAGCAGGAAGAAAGCCGTCCCAAACAAGCCTTAAAACTCCTATCGATTTTTATCCTCTCTATAAGAAGAAATAACGTCTCCTCATCGCATAGAAAAGGTCTAATCATCTCCATAAGCCTCGTTATCATTAAGGTAAATCCACTTCTTAACTCAATACTGAATTAATCTAAGGTTAAACATTAAAAAATCAGGAAAGGTAAATAGGAATTGTCATGGACTAATTTTTCTTATTTCTTATTTGTTGATGTGATGTCGAATGTTTAGATGGGTAAAACATCGTTGTTTTTATTGTACCCTTCAAAAAAATGCGATATTATATATTTTTAACAAGCAATTGCATAAACAAATAATTACCACATTGAAGTTCATAAAGGATAAAAATGTATTTCTCACAAAAAAATTTTTACGCTAATGGGTTGCTTGGTTGTTTGAAAAAGGAATACAGTGTAAAAAAAAATGCAGTGTAAACGAAATAATTTGGAGTTGTTTGAATGAAATGCATGAATTTATTTATTTTTGTTTAGTTTGAAGTAAAGTGAATGCAATGTAAAATGTAAAATAGTTGTGCCCAGTGTGTCCGAAGGTTGTGGCGGTGACGGTGGGCGGCGGCCGGTGGCAGGGATGGCAGGAGGTAGTCGACAAAGATGGTGGTGGTCAGCGGGGGGTGGTGGCCTTGGTGATCGCGGTGGTGGGTAGCGACAGCGGCTGTCAGCGGTGTTCAAGCAAGCGAGCGACCAGTGTAAACTATTCTCAACCAAAACAGGCGAGAGCACTTTGCCTAAAAAAAAAACTAGAATATAATATATTGCATTTACTTTAGGATTTGCTTTCATCGAACAAAATATCCCAAAAGTTCAAAACTCATGCATTAGGAATGCAATGCATTCACTTTTCATCCAACCAAACAACCCCTAAGGCTTCATTTGGGATAACTTTCTTAATATTTTTTAAAACAACTTTTTAATTAAAAAATTTTTTGAACTAGAAATTTTTATAACAGCAAATTGATTTAGAAAGCAGTAAAAAAAAGTCCCAAACAAAGAATAAATCAGCATAAAAAATAAACAGAAAGCATATATTTCAATATACTATTTATAGTTTTTTTTATAATACATTAAAACTTTAACATAAAATTAAATAATTAGTACATAAAAATAAGAAAAAAAATATGTATTTTGTATTTTATCTTATTTCTAATATGTCAACTTGATTCTAATTTTTTGGTGAATAAAATATTACCCAATTAAGTAATACTTTACCCACCCTCAAATTCAACATCAATAAAAAAAAGAACATAGTTAAGCTTAAGATCGCAATGATTGCCAAAATATTTGGCATACTGATGGCGGTGGTCCAACAATGAAAATCAGATGTTAGTGATCAGACATTAGTCTATAAATGGAGCTTTGAGATTCCTATAGCCTGTAAGCACGATCTCTGAGTCTCCTCTTATGTACAAAGTGAGGTGTCTCATAAATATAACTAAACTCTGAAATACCGCAGCGAGCGGTCCATATTGATTTTCTCGATAATAGACCATTTTCTCAACATTTAAGTGTCTTAATGAAATCAAAATTGAGCAACCTTGTGCTCGTTGGATCTATCTCATCTAGACACTTGATTCAACTATAAATATATACAATTTGGAGATAATATGATCATCCAATTAGTGTCTTGAGTTTCCGATTATTCTTTAAGTTCATAATCAATAAATCAGTCTCATTTGGAATTTGATTGGAACATATTTGATATCTTTGAGCGGGATCTCATTGAGCAATTCAACTATAAATTTCTTTAAATTAGAATTCAATAATATTAAATTTAATTTTGAAAGTTTTTAATTCAAATATGCATTGAAATTTATATCCGCTCAAATCTATATTTAATGATGAATTGAAGCAAACTTTTCTATAAATTATATCAACAAAATGGACCATCTATACTAAATTCATCTTATAATTTAAAGCTTACAATAGAATAATTTAAGGTTTCAAAGTTTAACATTATTATCAAAATACTCTAAAATTATTCTGAAGACATAGGTTTCATTTGAGATAACTTTCTTACTATTTTTTAAAATATTTTTTTTAGTACAAAATTTTCTTTTTAAAATAAAATTTATGGTAAAAAATTATTTTATAAAACAATACAAAAGTTGGATCAAACAAAGCCATAATCATTGAATGATAAGCTCCAAAAGCCTGGGAATTTTTTTTTTCAAACACGCTACAACTTTTTGCGAGTGTGAAATAAATTAAAGGCCTGAACTTGCTCAGTGAAGTCTGCCAAACAATGAAAACTTCTCCGCAAGAACATCTCATGTGAGAAAATGAATTCACATTATTTTGAAAGCAAATAATAATAATAATAGTAAAGCTTAATATCACAAAGCATTTTATTAAAATAATTTAATAAATAACATGATGTTGTTGAGTGTCTAAATATTTGAGGTATTGATGATAGTAGTCTGATGATGATGATTGAATATCAACGGTCTGATATTGGTCTATGAATAGAACTTTGAGATTTCTATAACCTCTAAGCACAATCTCTAAGTCTCTCATGTACAAAGTGAGGTAATTCATAAAAATAGCCAAAATTTGAAGTACTGCAGTGAGCGGTCCATATTGATTTTCTCGATCATAGACCTTTATTTTAACATTTAAGTGTCATAATGACATCGAAATTGAGCAACATTGTGCTCGTTGGATCTATCTCATTTAGACACTTGATTCTACTATACGAATATACAATTTGGAGATAATGTTGTCATCCAATTAGCGTCTTGAGTGTCCAATTATGCTTTAAGTTCATAACCAATAGATTAAGGCTCATTTGGAATTTGATTGGAACATATTTGATATCTTTGAGTGTATCTCATTGAGCAATTCAACTATAAATTAGTTTAAATTGGAATTCAATAATATTAAATTTAATTGTGAAATTTTCTAATTAAAAAATGCATTGACATTCCGATCAAATCTATTTTTAATGACGAATTGAAGCAAAATTTTCTATAAATCATCTCAACAAAAGGGACCAAAAATACTAAATTCAGGCTAGCGCATGGCGTGGGTGACGGCGTGATGCCTTGACCGCGGGTGCGACCGTACGAGACCAATCGCCAGCGTACCGTGCGGGAGTGGGAGTGCGGGACCGACAAACCGCGACTGCGTGTGGGTGACGCACGCCTTGACCGTGGGTGACACCTCAACTGCGAGGACGCAATTGGCTACGCCGACTGCCCGTGGAGGCAGGTGGCTACGGGGACGCGGGTTGATGGCGGGTCAAATTCGAATCAATTTCAGGTTGGCGGGTCAAACCGAACCCGACCCGTATGACTAACAGGTTGAACCGAACCCATATTTTTTTCGGGTTTGATTCGGGTCGGTTTTTGGGTCGGATCAAATATTGACACCCCTAGTGATAAAGATAGCAAAACACAAAAAGCTTACCAAAGGAAAAAAAGAAAAAGAAAAAAGAAGACCCCTCTAAGCTATCCTGATTTAAAAATACATAACAAGATGATAGCTTATTTCCTTTACAAAACCAAAACATTCATATTAATACAACCTTTGATGTCTTCTCTCCTTCACACTAGAACTTCTCATTAATACACTGGACCTCTCCCCTTTAGGGTTGTTCCAGTAAGTCTCCTTGCCTCTATACTTTTCTTTCACTATACCACTATTATTAGTTCTATCAGAATACAAAAAATCGCTGAAATAATGGTTTCCCATGCCTTCTGAACCCTCTCCATTTTCTTCATGATGGAAATAGTTTCTTGACCTAGAAGGGAAATGACCGTTATAATCAGATTCTTTGGATAATTGTAACGGTCGACTCCACCTCGATTGCTGGGCACCTCCAAACAAGTAGTCCGATAACTCATCAGTGCTTGTGGAGTTCCTGGTGCTATCAGTGGTCCACGAACCTTCCTCTGAGCAGCTTAGTGAGAAGCTGTCGCTGAAGGAATCCGCGCGAGGAAAGTAGAGTCTCGCACTGGTAGTTCTATTGAGCTGATCATGGTTCCCGTGTGGCAGAGAGCTTGAATGTCTATGGAATGGAGATTCTTCATTGCCATGCACAAATTTAGCAGGTTTCTTGAACCAGCTTGAGGTCTTTAACGAAACATGTCCTCTTTCATTTTTGATGAGGCTTGGGGCCTGGGATGATTTCCTAATGAAGCAAATAGAATGTTAAATTTTGCACAATCAAAAGAGAATTTACAGAAGAGTGTAGGTTTCCAGCAATGGAAGGTGACCTGGCATAGAAGAGAATGTAGGCATTTTCCTTCAGAACTCTTTCAAGCTCCACGGGTCTTACCTATAGAAAAATACATGAAAATCAGCATTTAAATTTCATGATTTTCATTAAAATAAGTATTTCTTTCTGGACAATGCCTTGTAAGTAGTAGATTGTTCACTAGGCTTTACTTGGAGGTTCACAATCTTAAAACCAAAAAATTGAGCCTCATATCACTTTTCTACAGTTTTAGAAGTTGTATGAAGTTGCTTTGTAGTAGTGTTAAACTGCATCTTACATTCTTTTGTTACTTTGAAGACAATACATTCTTTCAAGTAATAACACGAATTGAGAGTGAATTCTTTTCAAGTAAAATCTCCCAAAACCTACCAAAATTCCTAATCTCATAATTCAGGCTCCTTGAAAGGACTTTTACAAATATAAGTACCTAGAACATAATAAGATAGTTCTTTCAGACATTTGGCACTTCCTTCATCAAGAAGCAATAATCCTATGGATGTTTTTTGGCTCTACACCAACTAATATTAAGCCCTAATTCCCCCTTATCTGAATAAATTTAACTGCCTAAGCACAAGCCACCATCATGCAGAGCAGTTAACGGGAAAAAAATGGCATCTTCAGTTTCTATAAAGAAGAGAACGATGATGATGACGAAAGGAAGACAAGGATGTCATTTTTATTTTATGAATCTCTTACATAAGAGGAAAAACAATTTCTTGAAGAGGAAGGTAAGAAAACGTCAGCAAAAATACACACTTGAATAAAATCCATAGCACCGAAACATATAAGAATATATAGACAGATTGTAAGAGGATACCAAATGGTTAGTGCTAAAGTCATCAAGAAAGGCTGACGAAGAAGAAAAAAAACTAGAATTTGCAAAAAATATAGATGGCAATTTTTTTTAGGACCAGATTATCAATTTCCATAGGGAGACTGCAGCACTGAGGAAGGATTGTTCAAATTAAAAAAAAAAAAAAAAAAAAAAAAAAAAAAAAAGATCATCTCAGATTTCTTAAATAACATAGCATAACAGGAAAAAACAAAACATACCTCTTTATCATTAATCATGTACCATTTTCCTTTCATGCTCTTGACATAGCATATATAATGGCCAGAGAAAGCAGCGTTCATGACATCCACGTGAACCACAACAGCATAGAGGTTGTACAGAGGGCACGGATCCACCCTGCTCATATAAGGAGCTAGATCCAGTTTAACTGGGAACCTTATTGCTTTATTCAGTTTCCCAAACTTCCCCAGCTGTGGAACACAAAAACAAAAGCAATTTAGATAAGCTAAATCAGGGTTGTGAAAATGGGACCGGAGATAACAAAAAAGAAGAAGTTAAAGTTTCAATGGTTCGCATTCTAACTCATATATTATTCATGCAGTTTTTTTTTTATCCCACATTATAGAAGAGTTTGAGGTTATTGTCTTTATATAGTATAAAGTACGCACAACTTATAACAAAGTATGTTATGTGAGATGGCATGCTTATATCATAGTTGAATTCATCTTCATATCTAATAAAAATGTTTTAAAAATTTTAAAAGAATTTAACAAATTAAAACATATTATTTAAAATTTAATTAAAATAAAATTAAATATTTTATAGAATCGGCTGTTACTTGTGTTCAAACACAAGGTGGTTTGAAGAAGTATTTTCCTATTTCAGTCGGATTACATCAAGAATTAGCTTTAAGCCAATATCTTTGTGCTTTAGTCATTGATATTCTCACCAGACATTTGCAAAAGGTTGTACCCTAGTATACGCTTTTTGCTAATGAAATTCTTCTTGTCAATAAGACTAGAGAGAGTTAAGTAAACTTGAATTATGGAGGTCAACCTTAAAGTCTAAAAGGCTTTCGTTTGAGTAGATCTAAAATTGAATATATATAGTCTAATTTTAGTAATAATAGATCCAGTAGGGGGATTGTGACTTTGGGTGATTAAGTCATTAATAAGAATATACATTTTAGATATATTGGGTCTATTGTTTAGAGTGATGGTGAAATAGATAGGGATATTATTAGTAGAATTCAAGTAGGTTGGTTGAAGTGGAGGAATGCATCGGGCTTATTGTGTGATAGAAAAGCCCCTCTCAAACTTAGGGAAACTTCTATAAGATGGTAGTGAGACTTGCAATGCTTTTTGGTGCAGAATGTTGACCAGTAAAAGAGAAGCATAATATTAAGTTAAGTGTTGCATAGATGAGGATGCTCAGGTGGATGAGTGGCTTTACTCAGAAGCAGCGACTGAAGGCAGAGCTCTGCTTCATTTTATAGACGCGATCCGAGCAACGACCGAGGCGAGATCGCGAGATTCCTGCAGGAATTGCGGGAAATTGACCGGAGCGGCGCCGTTTGCAGCGGGATTTCGGCACGACTTCGTGGATCCGACGGTCTACAGGTTAGCTGAATTTTTTGTTCTTTTTGTTTCTTTATACAAAGGTCAACAAGAAAATATTAGAAATGACCTTTCTTTATTAGATTTAGATGAGAATTTGACTCTTAACATGACACAATGGAGAAAAAGGATTCATCTAGCCAACCGCACATAGTGGGATAAGGATTGTTGTTGTTGTTGTTATATAGAACCAGTCGATTTTACAAAATCGGGACCGGTTCGACGGTTTTCTGATCAAACCGGCGGTCCTAACCAGTTTGAGCCGGTTTGATGCAAATACGGTTTTTTGAATTTGACCGGATCGGTATTTTGGTCGGTTCACGATCGAACCGGTTGAACAGGCCGGTCCGGTCCGATTTTCAAAATATTGAGCTGCATGGCAATATTCGTTGAACAATACAGACAACTTATTCCGAGAGATAAAAGTCTCAGATTTACATTAGTCCTACTTGGAATACCACAATTACCTGAAAACGTTTCAATGCAATTGTAAGGATATTAGGAGCCTCAACTACAGACAATTTCTTCTTTGCACGCTCAAAAGATTTACATCTGCAACAAATAAATGAGGAAGACATGAGATGCAAAAACAGTCAGAAGAGTATCACGGATCACGTATCAGTTTGATAGTCTACTCAAGTACAAGTATATATTACTCTATAGTGAGACTATCCCACCCAGTAAATGAATGTTTTTGAAATGTTTGCCACTTTGAGGAAGAATAGAGGATTTGAGAGAATAAAGAATTTCGGAAAACATATTAATTCCGACCATGAACTTAAAAAAATTGGTTTTTTCATAATATGAGAACGATCTAGAAAAATAATCTTACTGCTTTTTTAACCCTTGATAATACTCTAATATTTCAACAAAACTTACAAACATAATTAGTTTTCCCTTTGCTGGTCAATTAATCCCATAACATAAATTTCTTAACATCATCCCTCTACCCTCCAGCCGAAAACCACAACATTTTAAATTTTGAGTGCATGATCAAACGATGAATATGCTAGAAGTCATAAGTTGTCAAAATAATGAAAATCATTAAGACAAAAGATCCCTCTTTTAGCCCTATCCGACTTGAATTGGCCACGAGTTCATTTTGATTCCTACCACTTATAACTAATGAAACTTTCAAACTAATACAAGCTGTATGTTGTGTTCCACATAAAATTGATGTTGGTTAAAAGATGCTTAAAGAAGTCAAAACATGCAAAACCATCTGATACGAGCAAGGGCTTAAAAAGAACCAACCTATCACAACGGTATCTGTTCTCCCCATCCAAAACTTCAGTAGTCGTGAACTGCTCGAGAGCTTGTTCAAGTGTTCCAATATTCCCCTGTATTTCCACTGTGAGATCCATCATACGTTCTAGTTGCTCAGATTTTGCCTTACACTTCATGCAGTTTATCTGCATTTAGCAACAATCAAGTTCATTATTCCAATGCACTTGAAAGGAGATGTGGTGCGGGTCTAGGAAGGGGTTGGGAGTTCTATATGCAGGGAATGAAAGGTGCTGGACCTCTGACCGAAGGTATCCACCAAAGGTTAATTGTATTAGACTACTAGTATCTTCAAGAAAATTTTCCGCTACATCTCCAGTTTCTTTAATGCAGGTATATTGCATTGCATCAATGGCGTACCTATCAAACAAACAGCTGCAAAACTGAGATTTATGATTTCAAGAATACAGAACAGCTCGAAAAAATTTAATCCATCATCATCCCACTTAAAGAAATAATGTAGTCAAATAGTGAGATCAAAATGGAGGAATGGTTGATCCATACTGCAAGAATGTTGAAGTGACTTTGCTGCTGAAGGCAGAACTCCTGTTCATTGAAAATGAGGGGTTACAGCAAATTAACTTTTACTTGCTGGTTTTGCTCTAAATTCTCTTTCTTTTAAATAAAGGGATATATTGCCAAAACAGTGACACTAGGATCCATGCACATGCATATATTTTGACAAGCACAAATTTCAAATCCACACCATATCTCGGAGCCAGAGACCATCACATAAAAAGGTCTCTAAACTATCCTTGATCATGTGTGTGCTTCTTAGCCAATGTTGATATGAATCGATCAAGCCCAATGTGCTACAAAATCGAGTGCTTGTAAAAAAAAAACTTTGAAAATGATCCATTGATTTCCTTAAACCTGATTTGATTCAAAACTGGATTTTTAGAGCTCATTTCCTGGGGTAACCATCATTAAACATACCATCATCTCGATCTAGTAGAGAGATTTGAGAAGAAGTAGCTAACCAAACTCCTTAAATGGTATGACAGTGACACCCCCCTCATTATTAGTAAATTGGGTCCACAAAATCAACCTATGAAATGCAAATATAGGATCATAATCGAGTTGACCACCAAACCAGAGCACAATAATGTCCTTCAATGAGATTGTTATTGGGTTCCCCACTTGAGATGTAGTCAATCCTAAAGAATGGCATTGGAAGCTTTCAACCTTCAAATTCAATATAAACTCTTGCTTGTTCACCATTTTTCCAAGAAAAATCGTGGGCACCTCAAATAATTCACTTGTAAAATCCTCATGACCAAAATAGTTTATCTTCTTCAGCCCCATAAGCGACTTCGGATCTTGCGTATACTTTAGAATAAAATTGCACAAATTTCAAGCAAATTGATCAAGAATTTTGGAGTAAAGGCAACTTTTTTGAGATGGTTGATTGCTTCTAAAGGATCTATAGTAAGATGTTTTCATGTGGATTTTTTTTTGCGGTAATATAAAGGTCTTGTAAAAATAGACCACGATTTTTTGAATGAAATGATGTTTGAAATGCTTTTAACACCACCTCCACTTCAGGAAATGTGCATGATTCTTTCACTTCTCATCTCTTTCTCCTCGTGCTTCAATTTTCTAAGGTTTTTGAAGATCTTTTGATGCATCTACACCAAATTATGGAAGCCACCTCTTAAACCTATTTGGGACAATATGCGACATGATGAGAGCTGCCTCTTGAACCTAGAGGGGTCAGCTTGAAAATTACATTTGCTAAGAACGTAATTATGGGCCACTGTAACGCTATTAATAGTATGTTATTCCTTGACTGTAGGAGATCCCTTAAATATAGTGAAGCAAAACTCTTAAACATCTATGTATATTTTGGTGTAATAGTTAAGAGTTTCATAAAAAAAAATACAAAGTTAAGTAGGCTCATACTAGAGTAATCGTAGGAAAGTGAACTTCCAGGAAGTTACAACAAGAAGAGAAAACCATACAACATATTGGGCCAAATAGTTTGGCCTGTGACATCACACTCTTGAGATTCATATGTCTATTAAATAAAATGAAAGTCTATTTTAATATATTCCAATATAATAAATAACTTTTAACTCTGTCAAATGTTTTAATTTGGCTAAAACACCACTTAAGAGGCATTCAGTCACCTTAAAAACACCTCAATCAAGCTTTTGTATGATCTTATAAGTTTGTCCGCCTCATGACGAGTATGCAACAAACCTGGAGAAGAAACTACCATTGAATTTACCTTGAGGTTCCTTGAGAGAAAAAGACTATCTTGAGTATTTAGAAAAGGAAAGTATTTTGATGGACCGGTCCGGTCCACAGCAACACCGGCCCAAAAAGGGCTGGTTCTCACTTACTGCAGGCGGAGAACCCGCTTGCCTGGGCGGACAGCCGAAGGGGAGAAAGGAGTCGGGAGGAAGGATGAGGTGTTTGCCCTAGGGGTAATTAGGGGATTTTGAGGGGTTTATGTGAGAGTTAAAAGTGAGTAGGGTGGCTTTTGAGAAAAAAGACTACCTTGAGTATTCAGAAAAGGAAAGTATTTTTAACTGATACTGATGCCAGGAACATGTAAACTAGGACCATAATTACTGAGGCAATTAGTTGAAATGCTTAATGTAATACCAAACTCACCTTAAGAACTCATGAGCATCTTCTTCTCTCCCATGCGCAAGATGACTTCCAATTCTATCTATACGGGATAGAATTCCAACAGGGGACAAGGGGGATTGCCCCAGTTTTCCCTTCAGGATGAGATTTTCAAATTCACAGGTGAAACACCACCCTCTTCTTGAACCTAAACAAAGGGCGATTGTTGAAAAATAAGGTAAAACGTACTTAAAGCTGTTAGAAACTATAAGGTTTATGTTAAAAAAGGACAGAAAACTTGCATTTCGCTCTATGGAATCCTTCAAGTAGATAAGCAGTAAGTGGCCGAGTAAATGCCAAGCACTGGAGCACGGCATTAGCAAAGCAACTGCAATATAGAAAAAAGTTGTAACAATAATACAAAATCCATAGATAGATGTTACTATGCCAGTATCACATAAAAATAATATTACTTCAAAATTTGGCCAGGCTTTCATAGTTGCCTCAAAGTTGCCAAAACTGACATATTCATTATCACAAGTATGGGAACTTAAGAGCAACCATCAACTTTAGCAGTAATCAAGCTGTACCTGTTGCCACAGTTAAAAAGGCCAAAAGGGTCCATATCCACCTTGTCAGAGTTGTAAAGCTTGGCAAAAAGTTCATAGGGGAAATTCATCTGGAAATATGAAGAAACTATTGACAGTTAAACATGAAAAACGACCATTCTGTATCAGGAGATGAGAAAATGTGCTAACATGAACAATCAATACATTATACTTTTGGTATACACCACTCACAGGCATTGATGAAAAACCTCCAGAGCTCAGTGACGGGTTTAACTGGTGGATAGTACTCTTAACAGATGCTCTCAAATCAGATTTACAGTTTGATAGAGGACTTGCACTCTTCGAGAATTTAGATGTCATTGTAGGAGCATTGTTAACTTTTGAAGATGTATCATCTAAAATAGAATGCCTTCCACCACCATAGAATGCACGTTCAGCAAGAGATATAGAACGAGATCTCAACCTTCTAGCATTCAGTAGCCAGTCATCAGCACTTTTCCAGGTTGGGCTGAAACCTGGTTTGTCACAACCCTTGACTCTACAGTCCATGAGGTTGGATTTCTTAGTACCATCCAGGGCATTTGCAAAAGAGCGTCCATGGGTAGAGCTAGTTCCCAAGGTTCTGTTTTCTTCAGAATGCTTCGAGTGGGTATCAGGACAAAAAGCATGTAACTCAACGCCTATGTTCTTACTGTTGTTACTCGAGCATTGAGAAAACTTAGTGGTTGTATTGAGGTTGGAGGAAACAGAGCTTAATTCAAGAGAATCATTTAACCTGTACTTGCTTTCTTTGGTGCAACAGCCGGACAGCTTTTTCTTTGAGTTAATTGTGTGAGATGAACTGTTTACCAACAAACTTGCACTGCCAATTCCGACTGAAGGAACTTCAACAAAATTAGCAACACCTGCTTTTTTTGGTCGAACAGAAGCAATGTCACGAGATAAAGCTTCTCCAGTTTTGGCATGAAGCTGAGGATGCAAGCCTTCACAGGCAGAAGCTTCTTCACAGTTTTCCAAGGAACCAGGATAAGTAGAACAGCTTGACAATGAATCGACTAAGGAACCAAAACTGCTATCTGTTCTAGATGAATCCAAGAAAGATCTAAAATCCTTTATATCATTGTCCCTGATAACTAAATTATACAAGTTGGAATCAGATGACGGTTCCACAAAACATGCGGCAACATGATTAGTAAAAGACTTCTGTTCATTCCCAACTGTGCCATCCAATAACTTAGATTTTTCAGCTTGGAGACGACTAAAATGAGAGCTACTTTCTAGAAGCTTATCTTGGTGATCAAATTGAGGACGATGACATTCATCCTTGTGACCTCGCCTCCAGTGGATAATCTGGCATGTGCCAGAGCTGCAATAATACATAAAGTAGAGCATAAAATATCAATCAGCCTATTAAGCATCTCTGATCAGTAGTAAAATCACGAACGAAGCCAGCTATCCAAGCTTTTTTATTACAGAATACTCAAAAATAAAAGGGGAAAGAAGCATCCAAAATGAACTATGTTTGTTTTCGATGGATGTAAGACGGAATGATTTTTTCCTGATACAAGATATTCAGTATTTGCGAAAAAAACTGCAAGGAGAAAAGCACAGTGGATGCATTTAAATCTCCAACAATATAAAGAAGGTGAAAAGCCACAATAAAAATGATCATTGATCAGTCATGAACAACTAAACCTTTTGTCAAACCATCCGGCAGAATGCAGTCATCTAGTTAAGTTGTCAAAACTCCATATCTCTCATGAGAAGTAAACTAGAGTTTTAGCAGTCCATAATTAGTTATCATCACTCATATACATCTCAAAAACCAAAAGAAAGCCCGAAACCACATTAAGGGAAAAACTTGTGCATGCTTGATTATATAAACTAAAATAGCAAAGCAAACAAGATTTTTAGCACTCATCAGTTATCATCACTCACATGCAACTCAAAAACCAAATCAAAGCCATAGAGCACATGAGGAAAAAACTTGTGTGCTTGACAATATAAGATAAAATAGCTAGGAACCAAAAGTATGAAAATAATTCGAGTTTACCAGAAACATAGATGCTAAAATAACAAGGAACCAAAAGTACTATTAATAATTTAAGTTTACCAGAAACATTTTCTGATTATAGGCTTTGAAGGCCTAATATCAATATAAGAGATGAATAGGGACAATCCAAAAAACTTTCTACATTATGTAATCAGCACCATCAATAATAGTAGGAATTGCCACCTAAACCCAACTATTGGAGTTCAGCCTCATGAATTCTTCTTTAGAAGACATTCATCATGCGTGTTGCATATGGTGTTAACTTTAGGTTCAGCTTCGTAACTAATCCTGTTTGTTTCATCCCTTTCATATGTTTGAAGACATTTTTTGTACAATATCGATTTGAGCTCGGATCAGCAAAATGAAAGTAAGAGACAAAAACTCATCCAACCTGCTGAAAGTTCAGTACATTAGCTCCTTCAAAAAAATTTGAGCAACAATTTGTTTGGGCATATGATCCTACATCCCTAATAAATTCATAAAGTACAAGCTACCGCCTTTAGAAATCAGTATTTACAAACCAAACTATATGACATTATAGATGCTAGGTCTTCCTGATCAAAATCAAATGAAGATTACATGGGCAAACTTTAATGTTCAAAATCAAAAGCAGTTTTGAAATGATATGGAATGTTTTTTCAGTTTATTTAACCTATTTCTCGACTAATATGGCTGATCCTTAATGCATAGTATGCTCAATAGCTACATTGGGACAACAAAGCAAACATCATTACCAATTTACCATGATCATATCATTAGCCTTATTCAAACTCTTTAAAGTTACCTTCATGCATAACCTTCTTTATTCATGCCTATTGAGTACTAAATCAGATGTTTAATGTCTTTTTATCACAAGTTTTAGACATGTATTTGGTATCTCCTTCATAATCCTTTTCACATTAATTTTATTTATCCTCTAGAGAAATATGCTCTACAAAATAATATTTTTAAAATAAAAAGGTATAAAGCAAGATGTCTTAAATATCGTGAGGCAAGTTGAAAGCCTCAAGGGCACAGGGTACAGGCTAATGATTTTTTTTTTAATTTGTAAAAACAAAAAAATATTTAAATACAAAAAAAAAAAGAGACAAATTTTTAATTGAAGATATTTCAAATCATATTCCATACAAACTCAAAAGTTCAGTTAACATAAACAAATACAACAACAACATCAAGCCTTTATCCCATTATTTGGGGTTGGCTACATGAATCTTTTTCTCCGTTGTATCATGTTAAGAATTAAATTCTTATTTAAATCTAATAAAGAAAAGTCATTTCTAAATTCTAATATTTTTTAACAAAGTCTTTTTAGGTCTACCTCTACCTTTTTTAACATAAGTTAAATCTAATACATCTACTTTCCTAATAGGGTCATCGAAAGGCCGTCGTTTTATGTGACCAACCCATCTAAGGCGACTCTTTCTAATCTTATCTTACACTGGAGGTGCTCCAACCTTTTCACATATATGCACATTTCATATCCTATCTCTAAGAGTAAATCCACTTATCCACTTGAGCATCCTCATCTCTGCAATACTAAACTTAATATTACGCTTCTCTTTTAATGGACAAGATTCTACACCATAAAGCATTGCAAGTCAATCTATCATCTTATAGAATTTTCCTTTACGCTTGAGGGGGACTATTCTATCACACAACAAGCCCGATGTATTCCTCCACTTCATCCATCCAATTTGAATTCTACTACTAATATCCCCATCTATTTCACCATCACTCTAAACAATAGACCCAATATATCAAAAACATGTATTCTTATTAATGATTTGATCACCCAAAGTCATAATCCCCCCACTAGATCTATTATTACTAAAATTACACTCCATATATTCAGTTTTAGATCCACTCAAATGAAAGCCTTTAGACCTATGTTGCACCAATACACCTATTTATAAAGGCGTGTTGTATCGGATATTTGTCGGACACGAATACATGTCGGACACGGATACGCGTCTGATAAGGCACCGATATGTGTCATATACGGGAAAGCCGTATCCAATTAAAATACTATTTAATTTCAAAATTACGCGCGTATCAGATATGCGTGTCATTCTGAAAAACGAAAAAATTCCGGAAAAAATGACACTCGTACTTACTTTGAGGTTGTGATCGTTTCTAATTTATGAACCCGTGAGACAAGGCGTTAGGGCTTCTTCCTTTATACAACCGCGAGCGTGCATCTAAGTTTCTTCTTCTTCATTTCGTCGAAGGAGCAAGAGAGGAGAGCCGGCCGATGCCGAGAAGGCAAGACGAGGGCATATGCGAGACGAGGCGAGGCAATACACAAGAGGAGGGCGTACGCGAGACGAGCGTTCATTTACGCGAGACGAGCATTCGTTTATGCGAGACGAGGTCAGGCGACCGCATGCTCCGTTTCCATCGTCGATTACGCGAGACAATGCCACATGAAGGTTCAGATCTACGGTGTTTTAAACAACAAATGGCTTTGATAGTTTTTATATCTCTAACCATCTTTATTCTCGTAGCATAATTTAAAATTTTACCAATTTGAGTACGAAGTTATCACTTATTGCACATGGAAGTCAAGTTATATATTTTAAGATTGATTTTTTCTATCCTGTTTGGTGTTTGATGCCTAGAGCATGACAAATGAATGAATAATTTTTGCTAATTTAGTTGAGCAAAATTAGGTTTTGTTCTCTAAATTTTATCATCATGATTTCATTCCCTAACTTCAGAACTTCTAATGATGTTGTTTTCATTTTTTTTGTCATTTCAAATATTATGTTTTAATTGCTCATCAATAAAAAACATACACCAGGGTACAACCTCTTGCAAATGTCAGTGAGAACATCCATGAGTAAAGCAAAAAGATATGGGCTTAGGGCTGATCCTTGATGTAATCCAACTGAAATAGGAAAATACTTGGTCAAATCATCTTGTGTTTAAACACAATTAACAACTTCTGCATACATATCCTTAATGACTTGAATATAAGCATTATTAACCCCCTTTTTTTTCTAGAACTCTCCATAGCACTTCTCTTGTAACTTTATCATATGCTTTCTCTAAATCAATAAATATCATATGTAGATCCTCCTTATTCTCTCTATACTTCTCCATAAAACCTCTCAATAAAAGTATAGCTTCCATAGTAGACCTACTTAGTATCACGCCACAACCTATGCTTCATAACTCTCTCTCATAGTTTTAAAGTATGACACATTAACTTACTTCCTCTATAATTCATACAATCTTGAGCATCACCTTTATTCTTAAAAATAGAAATCAACACACTCATTATCTACTCATCTGTCATCTTGTCTTCAAAATAATATTAAAAAGTTTAGTAAGCCAAGATATTCATTCATCTCCTAAGCATTCCACACATCTATTGGAATATCACAAGTCCAGCAGTTTTTCCACACTTCATTTTCTTTAAAGGTTCTCTAACTTCAATTTTACTAATATGCCGATAAAAATAAAAAAATATATATTTTCATTTAGGGTTCTTAGGTTACTAAAGTTAATCACATTATCATAATCTTCATTGAAAAGTTTCGAAAAATATCTCATCCACCTTTTTTGAATATAATCTTCTAATAATAGCATTTTTTGATCTTCATCATTAATACACTTTAATTGAACTAAATCCTAATTACTCTTATCTCTTTGTTTGGCTAACTTATACATATATATTTTACTCTTCTTAGTATATAATCTATTATATAAATCATTAAAAGCTAAAATCTTTGTATCACATATTGATTTCTTAAACTCCTTACGAGCATCTTTCTATCTTTTCCAATCATCAGAATTTTTATATTTAAATCAATTTTCATAATAAATCTTCTTATTTTTTTACTTTTCTTGCACATTTTGATTACACCACCAACTATTTTTATTATTATGAGCTTTTCTCTTTGATACTCCAATAATATCTTTTGCAACATGCTTAATATCACTAGTTGCGTTTTCCCATATAAAATTAGCTTCCTCGTGCACAAAAAAAATCTTTAAAATAGTATATTACTATCAAAAATATTTTTATTAATATTTTTTAAAAATCCCCCATATAATCCTAAAACAACGTTTTACTTTATTTTTTCCTACCCCTTCATCTTGAAGTCCAAAATTAATAAACGAAGTTGAGTATATAAACTTTCACTCGAAATAACTTTACAATCTAAACAATTTTTCTTATAAGAAAATAATCAATCAGAATTTTACTATATTCATTCTTATAAGTGATGAGATGCTCTCTTTTTTTTAAATAAGATATTAGCAATTACAAAATCATAAGATAAAGAAAAATCTAATATGGTCTTACCACTTTTATTAGTCACTTCAAACTCATAGCCAGCATGAATGCTTTTAAAATATACCTCTATATTAACATGTTCATTTAAGTCTCCTCCAATAAAAAATTATTCTTCAAGAGATATCTTTTGTATTAATTATTCTAAGTCATTCAAAAATTTTAATTTTAAACCCACATCCAGACATACTTAAGGAGCATCAACACTTATAATATTAATAATATTAGCATCAATAATAATCTTTAAAGTTATAATTTTATCTCTAATTTTATTAATTTTTACAACATTATCCTAACTCTTATCTATAATCACAATTACATCATTTGTAGTACGACTCTTATCAGAATATCATACTTTAAATCCTAAACTATCAATCTCCTTAGCCTTCTTTCCAACCCAATTAATTTCCTAAATGCACATAATATTTATCTTCGTATGGATCATAATATCTATTAATTCCATTAATTTGCCTATAAGGGAACTTATATTCCAAGTTCATATCCTAATTTTAATTTCATGGACTAGCTTCTTTGACCACATCGTCCATGATGTGGGAACCCTTGCCTATTTAACACTACACTCGGGCGTCGGTGCAACAATCCTTACACACTTGCACTGTATTCAGGCCATTCAGCGCGTCACTTCCAGGAAATGCCCTAGCATAAACATGCAATCCATTTAATAATTCATTCCTTAGCTCCTCAAACTCCTCATCATCAAAGTTTTCTTCATCACCAAAGGCATCGAAATAGGTTGGAGATGCGGATTAAGGTATTAAAGAGTCACTTTTCTAAACAAATTCCACTCCATCTATGTCATAGGATCCTTCACCAAGAACATGAAGACTAGAAATGATGAGACCCATAAATGATAACTTCAATAATAGATAGGGGGAGATCCATATGAAATATCTTTATAGATGAAGTGATGACTTCAACACTTTGTTGGAAAAATCGGATTGATAACCAAGAGAGAGAGAGAGAGAGTTGCTTCAAAATTGACAAGATAAATGACAAAGGACAAGGAGATGAGTGGAAAATGAGTAAGCTTTTTTTACAATTTTTTTTAAAGTATATTTTATATTGAGTAAGCGTTTTTTACAAGCAGTTGCAAAAAATAGGAAATAGGTTTCAACAAATAATTAGTTGGTCAATTTAAATTTGACTTGGCTTATGTGACATAAAAAATAACTTGATAAACTTATTAAACCATAGTTCCACCTTTCGAACCTTTAAAATGTTCATTAAAATATTAGTAGCGTTTGGAGCAAGTATCTCCAACGGATCATACAAGTATGCCTCATACACCCAAGGCAGTGATTGGACCTTTGGGGCTTACAAGTTACAACTCATGGGATTAAAGGCCCCCTAAATGCCTTAAGGCATCCTCACTTCATCCCACACAAGACGCCCCATTGAGTGTCTGATAAAACAATGTTTCCTATCCACTAATGTTTATTTTTTCACCATCTTAAATTAAATGGACGATATTCTGACTATCTCTCTAGTTAATAAATTTCATTACATTAACTTAAACATATATCCATCTTAGCATTAAGCATTTACACATAAATTTGTTATGAGAGGTTTCTCTATTGCTTAACACTTGAACCAAATATATCATAGTTAGTCATATAACAATTTAATAAAATATACTTTTAAATCTCGATTCTAATATCTTATTTTCTTGCATCAGATGAACTTCTTCAATTAATCACTCCACTTTAGTGTAACAATTATGTCATATGTCTTTATCTATATATTCTTACTCTTATGTAATACATTCAAGGTACTTAACTATTTATATCTATATCACACAAAGATATCACTTGATTATCTAAGAATTTTGACATTAATATAAAATTCACAACCTTTAAAATTACATATCAAATAATCGATCCTTATCTTACAGTCCACTGCCCCATATCTTCCAAAACTTCCCTCTATTATTCTAACATCTAACTACATAAAGGTCTCAATTATCAATCCTATATCCTCAACAAAACCATACAATAAGTTACCATACTTCGAGTATCTATACTAATCATTACATAACCAAAACAAAAAAATCCAAAAATAAATTCGAATCGTGATAAAATCCAAATATGATCAACAACTATTTGACCACTTTATAAATACTTCTCATGCCAATCACTAATCTATCATACACATTGATACGTCCTCAAAAATTATCTTAATTGGGTGCGAATTTCGATGCAAAATCAAATTGGAAACTTCAAAAATTAATTCGGAGACCATCCGAACTCCGATTTCAGCAAACTTACAGTCTAACTGAGCGTCTCGGAAATACGAACCCAACGACACCAAATTCAACTCGATCCGAGCCCAAATGGGTTCGAATCATGGACCCGAAGCGCTGTTGGAAGGTTCAAACCGCAATTTGAGATACCAAACGGTCTCTGATTTTAACGAGCTTATACTCAAATCGAACGGCTCGACGAGGCGAATCCAACGAGCCCAAGATCGCCGAATTCCAACATCTCTAAGACCTTCAAATGTCCAACGAACGGTGCACGATCGTAGGATTCGATATCGGTCGTCCATTCGACCACTCCCTATTCGCCCATGATCTCACGCCTATTTACGAGCTATGCCACTCCAGAAAATCTATAAATAGAGCCCTCATTCTTCACAAGAGAGGATCCAAGCAAGAAGAGGAGAGGAGAAGAGAAGGAAGAAGCTCCTCCTCGACCAACGCCAGAACTTCGTCGGACCACCACTGGAGCCTCACCGGACCACCGCCGAAGCCTCGCCGGACCACCGCCGGAGCCTCGCCGAACCACCGCCGGAGCTTCGTTGCACCACCACCTCAAGGCCCGACGTTCTGCTGAATGCCAGACGTTCAGGCCTGACGTTCTGCTCAAGGCCCGACGTTCTGTTGAAGGCCCGACGTTCTGCTCAAGGCCCGACGCTCTGCTCAAGGCCCGACATTCTGCTCAAGTCCCGACGTTCTGCTGAAGGCCCAATGTTCTGCTCAAGTCCCGACGTTATGCTGAAGGCCCAACGCTCAGGCCTGACTTCTTCATCTGAGGCCCTCACCTTCGCGAGAGGCCCTAACCTTCGCCAGAGGCCCTCACTTTTACCAGCGGCCTTCACCTTCGCCAAAGACCCTCACCTTTGCCAGAGGCCCTTGTCTTCGCCAGATCATCATCAAAGGCCGTGTGCTCCATCAGAACATCACATGAGGCCCATACTTCCGCCGGGCCATTACTTGAGGCCTTGAGCTCCACCAGGCCACCACATGATGCCCACGGTTCTCCCAGAATACTGCAGACTATGGTCCTTTTGACCTCCGTCGCCTACTATGGTCCTTCCAACCTCCATCACCAGACAACGGTCTTTCTGACCCCAGGTCTTATGCCGACTATGGTCCTTACGACCTCCGTCGCCTACTACGGTCCGTCCGACCTCCATCAACAGACAACGGTCTTTCTGACCCCGGTCTCCTGCCGACTACGGTCCTTCCGACCAAACAAACATGTATATGTAACTCCTACCATGTAATGCAATCTATATGATGTATATTTGCTACATCAATACAAGGGCTTCTCCAAAGGAAGGGCCTCATTTGTAATCAACTACAAATACTAGTGGATTCATTCAAACTGGGCCAGGCTCCGTGGTTTTTCCCCCTTTTCAGGGGATTTCCACGTAAAAACTATGGTGTCTTTTATGAACGCTACACCCTCTCACTTATCTGATTGTGTTCTGGATCTTCGTACAATGCTAAGACGTTAAATTATATATTTCTCTACCGCCGCGAATACTCCAGGACGCAACACACATATTTAATAACTTTAAGATAGACACATTTTTATCCTTAATAATTGTCAAACTAGTTCTAATGATGCTTGATAATATGCAATTTTAAGATAAATAAAAATATATGAAGATTCTTTAATCATCCACTGCACTTTTCATTAATTTCTTTGAACAAAAAATCACATCCATTGTAAATCTTATTTGCACAATTTCAATTTGATTCTCTAATATTGTAAAATTTATTTAACTTGCAGTTCACTTTCTTTCAACACTTTATTTTATAAATAATAAGTCCAGCTTCCCTACATTTATCACCAATTCCAAATATCTTTTTTATGCTTAATGACTCATTCCAAAATGTTTTTATCCAATTATTTGGCATGTTCTTACTCTTCACAATATTATTAACAGTGTGATAATAAAAATAAATTTGTTAAATTCTTCAGAATTACTAAATAATTTTTAGACATACTAGAACAACTAAGCAACTTGGCAGATTATTACAAATGAACTTAGTGAGTTAATTTGTCTACACAAAAGAAAGAGCATATATTAATAGATAATTGAGCTAGTTCATGCAAACCATGCCCACCCAGTTTGTTAGAACTTATTATTGCGAAATAATGTCAAACCTATACATATAGACTAGCATTTTACTCTTTGTATGATACAGAACGAGCAATATGTGCAGCGGAATGGAAACAAATCCATGCCCCAAAACCAAGACTTGACCATTTTTATCGTTGCTTCAAAGAAAGCTGTAGAAACAATCACCGCACATACATCATGTGGAAATACCAGAAGAGGCACAGCATATCAAAACAGTTTTCATGCGGGCTAGAGGTGCTGCAAGCATGCTCTATGCCTCTTTTCCAAAGTATCACACGCCAAAGTATCTTCTTCAGCCCTCAAAAAACCCGACAGCATACCTAAATACAACAAGAACCACCCAAATAATCCCTTTCGCAAATCCTCAAGCCCAACGGTGAAAAATCCAAGCATGTAAACGTGTACTCCAAATCGGCTTATATAATAACAAAAGTTGAGAAACTAATACAACGTCAGGGGAAAGAAATGTATTATTCAAGCGCTGGGTATGAAAAATTTTTATTCAAGGGCAAGGGCAAGAAACTCCGAAAGTTCGAGGACCAACCAGTATCTGACTGTTTTACAGCGAGAGCATCTCGTGCTGGTGGGCATATGGAAGACGGCACACTCGAAACGCCAAGTCCCCCCAACGTATTCTACGCCAGAGCTTTCAATTGAAGCCGGGACGTAAGTAAGAGTGGCCTCCATCTCCTCCCTAGCCGACTCCTCCGCTGCCAGCCGCGCAAGGTACTCAACCTCCTCCCTCCTTGCCTGTGCCAGCTTCCATCTGCGGCAAACTGCCATCCAGACAACGTGCACGAAAACGACCAGAACCAACGCCACAGCGCCATGGAACCCAAGATCCCACCGGCCGGGCATCTATCCAACGCCGCCCACTGATTAAGAATTTCGGATCTCTGCCCGACGCCACACATAGATCTCCGGCGAAAGTCGCCGACGCCGCCCGCGCGGTAGGGGCGCCGCCAGGAACTAACGCCGCGCCGTCGCAGCACTGTCGATTGAAAATGCAAAAGATACAAAAGATACAAAGGAGAGACGGCAAGTATCGGAATGGGCCAGAGCTCTTCCGCCAATAGAAATCGAAATCGGACGGAAAGGATAAATTTATCCGGTGCTCCTCCGGATCTCCAATGTTAAACGCTATTCCATAAGCCATCAATGAATAACGGGTTTCGGATCCGTTTCTTTGTCTATTTGTCGAGGTTGGAGCATGAAATTACGAGGGAGCACCGGAACAGGGGAAGTGCACCGCCGGCTTCCCGCGATTCGCCGCATCCGACCGTCAAAACAAACATTTGGTGGACGGTGGTGATGGACAGCGAGGGCTTCCGGCTATGATGCCGCGGGTCAACGGTCGGGACTCGGTATAATATTGACCCAATTTGAATTTTATCAACTCCAATTTGATTCATTTAATAAAAAATTAAAATTTAAAAAATTTGAATCTGAATCTGACACTCTAGTAGCTCAATCTGACCTAATAATTCTTTTTAATTAAAATTATTTTTATTAATTTGTGAAAAATAAATTATAAGTTAATTGCTTACAAATAAAAAAAATTATACTAGCAAATAAAAGAATTTAAGAAAAAAATAAATTATTTTCGGATCAAAATCGGATTGGTGGGTCAACTCGAACCTAACTCATTTAATAAACAGGTCAAAATAGATGACCCAAATCCAACCAATTTATTAAGTGAGCCAACTTGAACTCGAATTTTTCATATTGAATAACACGCATACCTTATAGCATAAACATACATGAAATCTTTTTCAAGATTAAAAAAAGAATGCTCAAAATTTTCTTACCAATTTTAAATTTTTTTCTCAAAGTCACTAAAATTATTTTAAGAAATTTTTTATAAATTTCATTGATTTAAAAATAAATATGATGCTTTAATAATTAAGATATATTTTGCTTTCAAATTTGTCCATTCAAATTCCATCCAAAACAAACACATTTTTAATGCAAAATTAATAAAAAGAAAATAGTTGAATATCCTCATTATGGACTTGAAAGTCTTAGATGATTTATGAAACAAAAAATTTTAATTCACAAAAAAAAAAAAAACTTCGAGATAAGATGAATTGCAAAGGAATGTGCCATTAAATTTGAAAAATATCATCCTCACTAATGTTATTTTTTTGGAAAAAAAGAATTATTGTATCTTTTTTATCTTCAATAGTATTGATATGCCATCAAAAAATTATCTTGGTCGAGCATGAATTCGATGCAAACATGAATAAAAAATGTCCAAAATTAAATTCAGAATCATCCAAACTCCTATTTCGCCAAACTTATAGTCATTTTAAACATCTCAAAGAGACGAACCCAACGACACCAAATTCAACGCAAATGAGCCCAAATCAAGGGAGCAAAGCGTATTTGGATGCTTCAGAACATCAATTGAATAATCAAATGATATCACAATATGTCATGCTTATTGTCAAATCGAGCGACTCTGCGAGACGAATCCAACGATGCCAAGATCGTCGAATTTTGACATCGTTAAGCCACTCAAATACTTGATAAACACTCTATGATCAAAGAAACGGCTATGAGCCATCCGATTGAACACTCCCACATTGCCTTTGATATTCTCCCTATTTACAAGTCATGCCACTCTCAAAAAATTATAAATAGACACACCATTCTTCACATGAGGGAAGAAAGGAAAGAAGAGAAGGAATTTGAGAGCTCTTTTGCTACTGATCACCGTCGGAGTTCTTTTTTACCACAACCAAACTTACTCCCAACCTCCGTCAGAGTTTTTCCTAACCAATACCGGAGTTCTTCTCGACCTTCGTCGAAGTTCTTCACGACTTTCGTCGGAGTTCTTCCCGATCATCACCAGAGTTCTTCTCGACCACCACCAGTGTTCTTCTCGGCCGTCATCAGAGTTCTTACAGACCTTCGAACGTCTTCAGACTTCCAACCGCTCATCGAATGACGTCAGATCTCTTCTCGATCACAGACTGCCAACTGACTTTCGACCGTTCATCTATCAACCATTCAAGGTCATAAGCACATGTTTAGAGTTTTGTAAAAATCTTCAACATATTATATTCTCCCTGTATTTAAGAACGTGTTGATCTATGTATTTCATTCAAATAATATTGGAATCTTTTAACTATGAGAGGCCTCATGGTTTTTTCCCTTTATAGGATTTTTCACATTAAAACTCTGGTGTCTCACTGTCTCTTCAAGTTTCTGTTTATTTGCTGAATTTTTGTGCATAGCTAGGACGTAAAATCTTGGCACTCTATCATCTCGAATTTCTCATCACGTAACAGTTTGACGCCTTATGTGGGAAACACTCTCAACTTTTTTTCAATGGTCGATCAAAATGGTACTAATAACATATTTTCTAATTCAAACACTAACCAAACTAGATTCTCATCTGAAAATTATGGACGTTGTAATTAATCAAGGGGATAACCTTTTTCTTTAGAAAGGTGTGTTGTTTAACCAATTTAGGGGATTCATCTTAGGTCCAAATTTTGTGGGCTAGGGCCTTGAAATTAGGTGAACTCATGGCCCAAACTTCACTGGAATTGGTGACCATTTGGTCCACCAATTAGGGAACCCAAAATCACCCCCTAGATTTGACCTAGAACATTAATTAATTCACAATTAATTCATATAAAATCCTAAACATTGACATGAGGTCCTAATTGCTCATTATTTAACCCTTAATCCATGAAAAATAAAATCCATATGATCATACCTTTAATTTAGTATTAATATAATCTTTAAGGAAAATCAATAGTTAATTGAATTAATTAATTAAAAATATTTAAAATTTTTTAAAAAAAATCCTTAAAACTTGGAAACATCTCCTTAGGTCATTTCTAACCTTCGGGAGTGATTTCAAGAGGTTTGGGATAGATTTAGATCAAAATCTAAAAATTACTATAATTAAATAATTTTCAAAATTTGAAATATGCCCAAACAATGAAAAATTATCATTAATTTTAGAAAAATCCATTTCAATCAAACTCAAAGCCATTCAACTTTAATTAAAATATAGTATTTTTTTTAAATGTCAAAACTCTAAAATTAGGTCAAAGTCAAAAAGTTAACTCTCCGATCAACCGTAATTTAAAATGAGTTAGAATTTTAAACATTCATAACTTAATATAAAAACTTTTCAAATTGAACAAACTTAGAGTGTAATTACTAATCTTAAGATATAGCATTTAGAAAAAAATTTAAAACTCTATAAATCATCTTAATTTTAAAAGTCAACTTTCAATCCCATTAATTTAATGAATTAAATAATTCAAATAAATTCTAAAAATTCAATAATTCACTTAAAATTTCCAAAAATTCTAATTCAATCATTTAAACTAGTACTTAAATCAATTGATTTAGATTTATCAACCCTTAATTCTCAACTAATTAAATCAACTTAATCAACACCGATTACTATTGAGTAACCCGGACCTATGAGGCTATTAACTTAAGCATAAGAAAGGTGAAATAAACTTTATGGCCCCGATTAGCAATAAAGATATTGCCTACTAAATATTTGTAATGTTATATGTGATTATACATATAATAAGCAACTAACATTTTTCTTTGTTTCCTAAATTCATGCTAAGAGCTAACATATTTGAAATTAGCTAACATCAATCTGTCATAACATGACAACTGATCCAGTGTCCACAATAATATTTTTCTCTAATTAACTATAATTTGGCTTTTTTCAGGTTTTCTACTAAATTCGAGCTTTGATTTTAACCAATAACACTCTATTATTAGAGAGGCAATATAAATTTGGTCACTATTGCACAAATGAGTTTAGAGAAATGTCTTATTGAACAAGGTGGGCCAAAATTTTCTTAGAATGGTGTGATAAGGATAAAATGACAATATTACCCTAAGGTGTCCTTATGGTGATGAAAAACAATATAAACTTAACCGTCATTTTATCATTTCAACACCGAATATTAATTAATAATAATAATAATATCATTATTATTATTATTATTATTATTATTAGTTGTGAATAGGATTGTACATTTTGTCCTATTTTATTTTTTAAAATTTTTATTTGGAGTGGTGATTAGTAAGGTTGCATCCTGGAATATTCGCAGTGATAGATAAATATAAAGTTTAGCGTCTTATCATTGTACAAAGTTCTAAAACTCAATCAAATGAAAGAGTGGGTGTAGTATTCATCACAAATGAGGCCAAGACCAATATTTTTATGTAGAAAACCCTAAAGGGGGGAAAAATTGCAGGTTCTAACCCAGTTTGAATGAATCCACTATTATTTGTTGTTAATTACAAATGAGACCTTTCCTTGGGGGAAGGCCTTAGCTTGATGTAAAAAATATATATCATATAAATTGCATTACATGAAGAGACTTGAAAATAATCACTGTTAATATGCATGATTGGTCGGTAGAACCATAGTTGGCGGACGACGTAGGTCAGAAAGATCGTAGTCTTATGATGGTGGTCGGAGGGACCGAAATCGGTGGGCAACAGTGGTAAAAAAAGACCGTAGTCTGGTGACAGAGGTTGGAAGGACCACAATCTGGCTATAAAGGTCAAAAGGACCGTAGTCGGCGGGCAATAGTGGTCATAAAAATCATTGTTTAACGAGAAATGTCAGAAGGATTGTAGTCGGCAGGTTATATATGATAAGAAGATCGTTATCTGGCGATAAATGCTTGAAGGATCGTAGTCGGCGGGTGACAATAGTTAGAAAGACTATTGTCTGGTGAAGGAAGTCGGATGGACCGTAGTTGGTTGACGACGGAGGTCGAAAGTCTGGCATCGGGAAGAAGTTCGATGGAAGTCTAGCGACGGGTAGAAGTCCAACATAAGGTAGAAATCTGACTATGGACAGAAGTCTAGCTTTGGGTAGAAGTCCGACGAAAGTTTGACGACTGACAAAAGTTTGGCGACGAGTGGAAGTCTGATGTCGGGTAGAAGTCTGACGATGAACAAAAGTCTAATGACGGGTAAAAATTTGGTGTGTGGTAGAAGTTCGACGATGGGCGAAAGTCCAGGATCGGGTAGGAGTCTGATGAAAGTCCGACGACTGGAAGAAGTCCGGCGATGGACGGAAGTCCAATGTCGGGTAGAAGTCTGGTGACATGCAAAAGTTTGGTATTTGGTAGAAGTCTGGCAATGGGTGGAAGTCTGGCATCTGATAGAAATATGGCGACTAACAAAAGTCCGGCGTTAGGTAGAAATTCGGCAACAGACGAAAGTCTGGCTTCAGGAAGAAGTCTAACGAAAGCCCGGTGATAGTCAGAAGTCCAGCAATGGCGAAAGTACGTTTTAGGGTAGAAATCCGATGAAAGTCTGGCGACGAGCGGATGTCCGGCGTCGGTTGGTGGCGAGGAGGTGGTTGAGGAGGAACTTGGGCTTGATAGCAAGAGAAATCAAGTTTCTCTTCTTCTTTATCTTCATTTTCTTCCTTGCTTCTTACTTGGGGTCCCCTTTCTGGGGGGGATGAGAAGACTATTTATAGTTTTCTAAGTGACATGACTAATAAATAAGAGGAATATCAAGAGTAAATTGAGAGTGGTTTGAATGAACCTCAAGAGTAAATTGAGAGTGGTTTGAATGAACCACTGATGATGAATCCTTTGATCATGGATCGTTTACTGGACATTTGAATGTCTTAATGATATCAGAATTTGGTGATCTTGGGCTCGTTGGATTCGTCTCGTCAAGTCACTCGATTCGATTATAAGCATTTCACGTTTGAAAACTATTTGGTAATCCAAATTATGGATTCAACCTTCCGAATGCGCTTGAGGTCTTTGATTTGGATTCATTTCGGCTCAGATTTAGTCGAATTTAGTGTCGTTGGGTTTGTATTTTCGAGACATTCATTTTGACTATAAGTTTGTTGAAATCGGAGTTCAGATGGCTTCCGATTTTTTTTTAAGTTTCCAAGTTTATTTTTCCTCGAGATTCGTGACATATCAATATAATTTTTTAATGATATATCAAGTAATAAAATATAAAGCTAGTTTAGAGTTCTTAATTTAAATTGTAGTGTGAATATTGAATATTAGGCAATTATTTTTTTGCACTGATTTTAATAAAATATAAATGAAACTTTAATTTATAAAATAGCTTAAATTTCATGGAGAAAATCAATACAATTTTTTTTAAAAAAAAAATTGAATTAAAATATCTTGATAGATAAAAATATATATTTTTAATTTATTTTAAACTAAATAAAATAAAATATTAATTAATTGAATTAAATTATTTATTCATATTAAAGTAAATCTGATAATTTTAAGATTTATTTTAAATCTTCACGATATTAAACAAACTTACAAGTTACAAATTTAACCTCGACGAGACGAACAATAGCGACAATTATTGCCATACCGCAATTCACAATCAAACAAAAGCATCAGCCCTCCCTCACGCTCCCGTGAAACGCTGGTCCCACGGGCCCGTTATTATCTAAAACACACCCGAAAGTCCACCCATTTCTGCACCCACGTACGAAAAACCGCTTAACTGCATAATTCCCGCGCAAACCCTACTCTGGCTCCAGGCACGTCGACCAGAACCCTGTGATTCTGCTGCTGATAGCTCGCGATCACGTTCACCACCGCGTTCACATTCGCTGGCGCCGCCGCCAACGCCAAACACGCCAGTGGCCGCCCACTGCTATGAATCAGCGAGTTTTCCGCTGGCAACACGAGATCCAACCCGTCCAGATGCAAAGTCACCGCCGGCGGCGCCGTCACGATTCCATCATTAGTCGCTGTCGAGTAGCAGGTGTCAAACGCGCCCAGCGACTCGTATCCGTTTGTCGCGTTCACTTGCCGCCTGAACTCGTCGCGTATGGCGGTGTAAGCCGCCGCCACGAAGCGGGTGATGACGGTACCGGAGTCTACTACGGTGCCGGCGCCGGTGTTCGGGTCGAACGCGAATGCGTTGGGTGGGGTTATGACACGAACCCGACCCACGCTGACGCTGGTGAGGTTGACGTAGTAGAGGGAGGGGCGGTGGGGGTTGAAGAGGAGAGGAGTGGAGCGAATGCGCACGGGCTGACGGAGCGGGCCGAGTCGGAGGGACCCGGAGAAGTAGTAGGAGTTGTAGCTAGGGAGACAGTAGGAGAAGACGGAGTGGTAGAGAGAAGTTGTTTGGGAGAGGAGGGAGGCAGGGCCTCGGCCGAGGGCAAGGAGGCCCTGTTTCGGGAAAGAAGGGCCGGCGGTGGCGGAGGTGACGGCGCCGAATGTGAAAGCTGGGATGGTGTCGCCGGCGAGGTGGAGGGTGTCTTGGGCGAGAGCGGCTGAGAAGGATGAGTCGCCGCCGTAGGATTGGTTGTAGGTGCAGAGAGAGGAAGGGGAGGAACAGGGGAGGGGTGTGAAGAGGGAACATAGGGAGGAGGAACAAGGGAGCGGTTGGAAAGTGGAAGAAGAGGAGAAGTTGGAGGTGGAGAGGAAGGAGGCATCGGCGGCGGAGTCGAGGGCGAGATAGAGGGATTGAGGTGGGGAGCCGATGCTGGCGCGGAGGAGATAGATAGCGGTGTCGACGATGTGTTGTCCAGAGGCGATGGGAACGGAGGAGGTGGAGAGGGAGGCGAGGAAGGAGAGGCGGGCGGGGTCGTTACTGCGGGTGAGTTGGAGGAGGGAGTCAAAGGGGGTGGTGTGCGAAGAGATTAAGGGAGAGCATCTGCTATATATATATATTAAAATTTATGCATCATAGAAATATTTTAAATTTATTATTAAAATGTATGCAGCAAAGAAATATAAAGTGTTCATCTATATAAGCACTTGGGCACATTTATGATTACTAAACAGATTTAGGTTTCATTTGGGATAGCTTTTTTCTGCTTCTTAAAGCATTTTTTAGTATAAATTTTAAAACTTTTATACTAAAAAACTGCTTGAAGAAGCAGTAAAAAAATCATCACAAATGAAGCCTTAGAAATTTCAAAACCTGTCCAAATAAGCTTGCTAAGTTTTAGGGTCACTTAAGAGAAGTAGCCAAAGATCACACTCAACCCATCCATAATAAATAAAGTTTTGAGAACGCAACTGCCCTTCAAGAACTTAGAGTCACCTACGTGGGTACTCAGTCTTAAAAAAACACATAAAAGTTGAAACAAGATCAAGACACCCAAAGACTCTCTAAATGTTGAGTAATGATCGTAGTATCATATAACAATTCGTATAACATTTTATTTTCAAGAAGCTAGGAAGGGGTTTGATTGATTGGAATTATAGTGGTAAGTATAAACTCATTCCATGAATGAATAGAGATATGTGATTGAAAGTACAAGGCCCTGACAACATTAAGAGATGTTGATGCTTTCTTTCGATGATTATATTTTATTGGGGTTTAGCATCACACGACTGTTGATGTATAATACTTTTATTATTGAAGAAAAATATGTGAGATACAATCATTGGCATTATCACATCTAAATGTTTGAAATTTTTTGTTAATATGAGTTTTGACCTTTGATTTAATATATTACGAAAAAATGTAACAAAAACCATTCTTGTAAAATTTAGTTAGACCACCTTTTAGCTCATCTTTTAGATGATTCAGTCTCTCATAAGAAGGTTGTCCAAATATGTTGTGCTAGATGTCATGGCCTGAAATAACATGGGCATATAATTCAGCTTCTAATGTCTCCTTGTCTTTTACACTTACCAATTGTCCTCTATTATTGTCCTAGATGATATATTGTCATAACAAAAAGTCAGGGTAAGTTGTTTATTTTGTCATGAGTGCACCAACAAATAACATGTTAAATTTAAAATTCATAATGATTAAAATATCATGAAGAATTAAATTAGGACATAGTTTAGGGTTTAGGGTGCCTTTGTTAGTTGTAATCTAATTAATAGTTGAAATGTGAACTTTAGGTTATTGATCATGTTGTTTTTTTAAAATGGGTTCATACCCATATAGTTTACAAGACCTTTCTTTGGTGTGACTGAGCGTGTTTGGGAGAAATTATTACACGAACATGGGAAATAGAGCTACATCTATACTCCAACGAAAATATGACACGTGAACTAATGTATTACTAAGTATTATTGTATGTTGGTGTATATTAGCCATGTATTGGTATATACTAGATATTTTTAGTGTGTATTAGCTGTATATTGGTATGTTTTAGTTATGTATTAATGTGTATTAATTGCATATTGTTGTGTATTAGCTAGTACACAGTAATATATAGCTAATACATATCAATAAATATTAATATTAATGTGTATTAGTTACTACACACAAAAATTCATATAATACACACCAATACATAGTTAATACACATCAATACATAGTAATATCTAATAATACACTAGTCCACACATCATATTTTTATTGGAGTCTGGACGTAGCTTTACGACCAATGTTCGCACGTAATAATTTCTCGTTATAGTGAGTACATAGGGAGCACTCTCTTTAAATTCCTTTGCTATTCCTAGGATTGTCATGTCTCATAACTCAATTCTTGATAACAAAGGCTAGGCTATTGCCAACTTTATTTGCTATGCTTGGTCATGCAATGGTATACTGGTGTTCTTCTTGAAAAATTTTCATGCATACCTTGTTGATCAATTGTTGCTCTTCTCGCAAGAGAACTTGGTTGCATATGTGCGCAAAGACTCATTGAATTATGCATTTAGATCTTTATCTCTCATATCTTTGCTCCACTCTTTCACATGTGGAGAAAATGCAATGACAATGTCTATGATAAGATTATTTATAACAAGAGCACCATTATTTATAAATTAAAATTTCAGCTTGAAGAAACTATTTTAATTAATAATCTATGTCTTTGATTTTATTGAGATTTGTTATTGTAACTTGGACCGGTTCACCCAGTCTAAGTCCTTCTGCATGCAAGCAAGCTGCCCCACCTCCTTTCACGCACACAATCAGCTGCACAATCTTCGCCTCCCTCGCACAAGAATGAACCGAACATCTCCCAGTCGCGGTACCCTCCCTCCAATTGCATAAATCATGCGATCTCTCTGCCATTTTGAAATTCTCCCGCTCTTGCCGACCTCTCTCTCTCTCTCTCCCTCTCTCTCTCTCTCTCTCTCTCTCTCTCTCTCTCCAATTTAACCCAATAGGTATCTTATGGCATCACTTTTTTTTACTTCTTTTCTCCCTCTCGCAACCAAAAAAATCTCACCTTCCACGCAATATCAGCTCTCGGTGAATTCGTCTGAAACCACTCTCCTTGCACAATTAGTTTTCATTATTTCCTTCTCTCTTTCTCCTTCTCATGGTTCTAATAGTCCATGTAAAAGTTCTTTCCATTTCTATTTGCAAGGCTAAATTTGATTTGAATATTTGCATGGCTTTAAATTTCTTATAGGAATTTTGTATCACTTTGAAGAGGAAATTTTATCTAAGTTTAATGTCCTTAGTTTAAACTCTAGGTGATTTATATATTTTTACATTATATTATTGTTCATAATTAATTTTGGTGTTCATGTCGTGGTTAAGATTGATTATGATAGTGATGTGATACATAATGCATGGAAACAAGAATTGCAGTTAAGATATTAATAGAAGTGATGAACTTTACTTTGCTACCAAATAACTCTTTGTTTGCTCAAGTTAAAGTTTAAGAATATGGCGTTGGAAGATTAAGCAATAGCAATAGATTACACGTTGAGATTACTAGAACTTGCAAAATAATAACCAAAGATTTAGGTAATGCAAATAGCCAATTATAACAAAGCCTCAAATTTAAAATTTAGATCATTCACCTTGAAGTCCTTCACTCGTTTTGAAAGTGGTGGCTAGCGGAGGAGGATTGTAAGTAGACTTAGCGATGCCACAAGTAGACAGGTGATCCCGAGAGGACTAGTTGCCGGGGAAGAAATCGGATTTGGAGAAAATGATGGACGCCCGTTGATGATCCAATCGTCTACCGGAAGTCGCTCGTCGATGACGTCCACGAGGGTGAGAAGAATACGGTTCAGGTAATCCTCGATGGTGTAGTCGAAGCCGAACCCAACGTCAAAGAATGGC